GTATGTTCTGTTATTTGTATGTTGCTTCAGGTATGTCTTTACATTATTCTCACATGTGTGTACAATATTGGAATATGTATCAGAGCAATGTAAAACAGACTTTTTTAAAAGAGTAACGAATGGAGTTTCTTGCTCGTTCTTCTCCACTCGAATCGACATTTTGGAACGAGCGCCTAGCTTCACTGACGGACAGACTGACAGACTATTATATATCTCATATTTGTTGACGTTTCAAAAGTACCAAATTATGGTTTAATTGAAATAAATGCTTTTGAGTTTGAGTTTGAGTTTGAGTTTAACATAATTTTCATAAAATCAGCCAAATCGGTCCAGCCATTCTCAAGTTATGGCGTGACAATGGGAAACGGGTTTCATTTTTATATATATACTTATATAGATTGATAGTTACTAATTCGGTGTAGATATAGTCTGAAACACGAAAAAGATCATGAAATATTTTTATCCCGAAAATTCTATGAAAACGGTAAAAGAACGGCTAAAACCCGGGACTCTCTATTTATTAAACCAATGAGAGTATGAGACTCTATAAAAGCATAAGCAATAGTTTTTATATTGGTAATCCGACGACAACGGGAACTGTGCCATAAAATCCCGGTACTCTATTCTTCAACAACTGATATTATTTAATTGAATTTCGGTACAACAATAGATATAGACCCGAGAAAGGACGTATGATTCTCCATCCCGGAACTCTTACGGGAACGGAAACTATGCGGTAAAAATCCCGGGACTATCTATATTTTATAAACCACTCGACCTATTTGAGTGAGAATCTAATGGGAACGGGCCCTGTACGCGTAGAACACTTGCGGGATTGTTTGTATTTTTAAACCACGGGAATAAATTAACATAACATAACATCACGCCTTTTAGGGGCGCCCTTTCCCGAAGGGGTAGGCAGAGTTGCACATTATGCGACTGTACAATGTAACACCCACTTTTCACTATTTATGTTATGAGTCCTATGTAATAGGGGGTTAGCCTATTGCCATATTATGTAAAACCCAGTAATACTTTGCCTGACCCGAGAATCGAACCCGAGACCCCTTGCCCGGCAGTCGCACTTGCGACCACTTGGCCAACGAGGCAGTAATTAGGCAGAGAGCAGGAATAAATTAAATTCATAATAAACATAACTTAGGTACTAAATCGATTCTGAAGACTTTTGTTACAGCCGTAGAACTTTTTCAATATATATGTCGGCGCCGCCGTCATTATTTTGTAAACTGCGAATGTAATGGGCGAGCAGTGAACAAACAACTGACCGACGTCACTTCAACCCCACCACCGAGTGATATATAAAGCAGCGCAAGCGCAAGCTCGAGTGAGTCGTTCGTCGATCGTTGCCCAGTTCACACGTTACGCAATCGCTGAGTAATTTTATTGTTGGTTTTATTTGAGTGTTTCCTTTATATAATCAGTGCTGAATTATTCAATTATTATAATTTAAAATTAATGTGAAAGTAAGTTCATTTAATCGAAATAAACTAAGTGATTGTGTGAAGCTCTTTGTTTTATTTTCAAATAATGTCGGACCCTGATCCTACATATATTTTAAAAACTAAAATTCTGTTAGAAGTCATTATTTCATGCGAACGGAGTTACGAGCAAAAGCTAGTTTAATATATACATAATTAATGCGTGAGAAGCCCCAGCAAAAGTTAGTATCCAATGTAAACAGTATGATAACATTTTTTGACTACAGGTATACATTTTTTTTAAGAGGGGAAAATCATCGATTGACTGCTCCCGCCTGGGTGAGGCGGGAGGGAGTGTCAGACTCTTACTGACGTAAAACCACTCCGTTCCTTCTCCTGCACGTGGAGCCGGAGCTCCGGTAACCCGTTAGGTTCTCTGTACAAGTATACATTAGGAGTTGGATTTTTTAATAAAATCTTGTATTAAAAATTGTTTGCTTGCAGGAAATGTCAGCAATAACGGAAGTTCATCCTCTGTATATAATATCAACGGTGGTGCTGGTAATGGAGGTAACAGTTATGGAGGCGGTCCAGCTGGAGGTGGTGGCTTCAAAATAGGTAGGATCATCCTATCTCTAACAACATATTTGATCCTACTAGGACGGAGTCGCGGAGAACCTAACGGGTAACCGGGGCTCCGGCTCGACGTGCAGGAGAAGGAACGGGGTGGTTTTTAGTCAGTAAGAGTCTGACACTCCCTCCCGCCGCACCCAGGCGGGAGCAGTCACTTGATGATTTACCCCTTAAAAAAAACTAGGATATGAGTAGTATATCTAGCCGTAAAAGTTAAACGCATTAATTTCAACTATACCTCATACAGACGGATCACCTGATAGTAAGCAATCGACGTCGCCCATGGACATTTGGAACACCAGAGGTGTTACAAGTGCGTTACTTACCGGCCTTTTGGGATTAGAAATTTGAGGATTGTTGGGGATTCAGGGATTGTGGAAGGGTGGCGGTGGAGGGCAGTTAGGCCTACGGTAACCTCACTCACACGACGAACACAACGCAAGCGTTGTTTCAAGTCGGTTTTGTGTGAGGCCGTGGTATCGCAGCGGTCGAGCCGGTCAATTCGTACCGAAGCAGGGCTCTTACGTATAATCATAAAATCTAAACTGAATTATTCCTCCGACATTTATATTATTATAGTTAAATCTGTGATGGCCTAAGACGTAGACTTATAGGATTTATTTTGCTTAAAAAACGTAATATAATCAATTATTTTCTTTTCAGCATATTATGATGACGATAATATAAATAAAAAAAGATTGGGAAGGCAAACATATAATTTTGGTACCGGAGGAAGCAGTAGTGGGAGTGGACACGGTGGAAGTGGTGGACAAGTTGGAGATAACTACTACGGTAAACACGACGAAATCACCATCGTGATCGTTATCATATTCCTGTGCGAAACATTATTGAGATTGGGTGTATTATTTTCCAATAAAAATTACGCTTGCTCAAGGCGATTAGACGATTTCAAACTTATAATTTCAAATTATCAGTTCACATTTCCTCACGATATTTTCCTCCGCCGTATATCAGTGATGTTTATACATATTATAATTTTAGAAAGTACATCGAAAATGTCACATTGTCACACACAGGCATGGGGAGGAGGTGCCTTATCCTCTTAAACCTAGTCTTAACCACTACAGATTACATTGACTGGTTTATTTCATGAACACACCAATTTTTTCAGAGATCGCCTGTAACTTATTTTTCCATTCTTGTGTCAAACTATCATCGTCTGTTTTAAAAATTATCGATATAGTATTTAATGCCGTTTCATACTCTATCATCTCTCTCATCTTTACACGATGTTTCGATAATAATTTGTTTTATGCTAGCTTCGATACAATTAAGCAAGCAAAAGAACTCGACTTCAAGATTAGCTGAAACCTATTTATAAATATGTACTCAATTCTGAAATGTACGATAGGTACATAACTGAGGTACCAGCTTTCCGGCTTGGTCTTCTATAAATAATAATGCTTTTGTATTCGAGTTTTTCCCTTACTGATATTCTATTCTGAATAGGGTAGATGACAAATTTTTATTTTAATGTCCGTCTGGTAGATTATTTAAAAACATTATACACGTATTTTTTATTTTCTTACGGAAACGAAGAATAAGTAGTTTCGAAGATAAAGATATATTGATTTGAAATGTCGCGTGACGTCACTTCTCAGTACATTTTATACAAAGAAATGACGTTTTAGACCCCACTCCTAAACTTTGATTCGTTTTATATAAGTATTGTTTTATTATACGACAAAATAAAAAATACGTGTCTAATATTTTTTAATTACCTAACTTACGGACTAATTAATTATATTTTTAATTATCATACCCTGTCATCATCCCCATTCTTTTCTGTATTAGAATACAGATATTAATATTTATTTATTTACTTCATCTTTTGTCGTTTGTACAGGAATTAGTTTTATAAAATTATAGTTATAAGTTTATGTTATTCATTTCATTTTGACGTATTCAGGCATCAGTACGTACGATGTCCCTTGATGTATCTTTGAATGCGGCTTCAACCGCACCTACCTTACAAGTTTTTATCAAGAGCCTATTCAAATAAGGCTTTTACAGTTTCAATCAGTTGCAAACATGGCATTTACGACAACCGCGGGAAGATTAGAAGTGGTTTTAAATGTATATCGCCGTAACTGTATCGCTAGATACTATGTATAATAAATATTATTTTGTACATTTCTATTATCTTTGAAGTAAATATATATTTTTTTAATATTGTGCTATTGAAAAATAAAAAACTAATATCTGACTGGTATCATTTTCAGGAAACGCCGGAAAAACCACAAATTCAAACAACCAAAACGGTTACGGCATCTCTTTGCTAGGAGGTGTCGCTAAAGGAGTTAGTAATGATGCTTATTATTCCCAGCCGCCAGCCTATCCGTACCCTTCCCAGCCGCCAGCCTATCCGTACCCTGACTTAAATGCGTATGGTTACCTAAATCCCCTATTTCTGCAATAGTGAAAATGGTATGCTGATGTTAAATGTTATGTTATCTTCTTCGATCATCAGTTGTTATTGTTGATCGAAGGTTATCTTATACTATTGTTTTATATATATACTATTGTTAAGTGTTTATTTGTTTAATCTAAAATCTAATCTCAATAACTATAGTCAGAATTTTCATTCGATTCCAGATTTGACATTAGCTACTGTCATTTTGAGAAATAATGATACCACATGTAATAGTGTAGTGATGAACACAAAAATCGATAAACAATCGGTGTGTGTATTTTATAATAAATGTTACAGAAAGTGACAGCGATAGCGATAGCGATGACGGCGACAATTTATAAAATAAATTATTACCATAATACATCTATCTGTTTTATTTGTCATGTTCCTTCATGATTACATTTTTTTATTTATTTCACACAAAATTATTAAAGAAAAGTCTCAGATCGTTAATTAATCGTCAAAACTAAATTATCGGTCAGGAATATTTAATTTCCTGATATACTTAGCTTACGAGAGTAAAATTATAAACGAGAAGAATCGGTGCGGAAATATTCCATTTCTTGTCATAACGTTGCAGTGTCGGCGCCGCCGTCATTATTTTGTAAACTGCGAATGTAATGGGCGAGCAGTGAACAAACAACTGACCGACGTCACTTCAACCCCACCACCGAGTGATATATAAAGCAGCGCAAGCGCAAGCTCGAGTGAGTCGTTCGTCGATCGTTGCCCAGTTCACACGTTACGCAATCGCTGAGTAATTTTATTGTTGGTTTTATTTGAGTGTTTCCTTTATATAATCAGTGCTGAATTATTCAATTATTATAATTTAAAATTAATGTGAAAGTAAGTTCATTTAATCGAAATAAACTAAGTGATTGTGTGAAGCTCTTTGTTTTATTTTCAAATAATGTCGGACCCTGATCCTACATATATTTTAAAAACTAAAATTCTGTTAGAAGTCATTATTTCATGCGAACGGAGTTACGAGCAAAAGCTAGTTTAATATATACATAATTAATGCGTGAGAAGCCCCAGCAAAAGTTAGTATCCAATGTAAACAGTATGATAACATTTTTTGACTACAGGTATACATTTTTTTTAAGAGGGGAAAATCATCGATTGACTGCTCCCGCCTGGGTGAGGCGGGAGGGAGTGTCAGACTCTTACTGACGTAAAACCACTCCGTTCCTTCTCCTGCACGTGGAGCCGGAGCTCCGGTAACCCGTTAGGTTCTCTGTACAAGTATACATTAGGAGTTGGATTTTTTAATAAAATCTTGTATTAAAAATTGTTTGCTTGCAGGAAATGTCAGCAATAACGGAAGTTCATCCTCTGTATATAATATCAACGGTGGTGCTGGTAATGGAGGTAACAGTTATGGAGGCGGTCCAGCTGGAGGTGGTGGCTTCAAAATAGGTAGGATCATCCTATCTCTAACAACATATTTGATCCTACTAGGACGGAGTCGCGGAGAACCTAACGGGTAACCGGGGCTCCGGCTCGACGTGCAGGAGTAGGAACGGGGTGGTTTTTAGTCAGTAAGAGTCTGACACTCCCTCTCGCCGCACCCAGGCGGGAGCAGTCACTTGATGATTTACCCCTTAAAAAAAACTAGGATATGAGTAGTATATCTAGCCGTAAAAGTTAAACGCATTAATTTCAACTATACCTCATACAGACGGATCACCTGATAGTAAGCAATCGACGTCGCCCATGGACATTTGGAACACCAGAGGTGTTACAAGTGCGTTACTTACCGGCCTTTTGGGATTAGAAATTTGAGGATTGTTGGGGATTCAGGGATTGTGGAAGGGTGGCGGTGGAGGGCAGTTAGGCCTACGGTAACCTCACTCACACGACGAACACAACGCAAGCGTTGTTTCAAGTCGGTTTTGTGTGAGGCCGTGGTATCGCAGCGGTCGAGCCGGTCAATTCGTACCGAAGCAGGGCTCTTACGTATAATCATAAAATCTAAACTGAATTATTCCTCCGACATTTATATTATTATAGTTAAATCTGTGATGGCCTAAGACGTAGACTTATAGGATTTATTTTGCTTAAAAAACGTAATATAATCAATTATTTTCTTTTCAGCATATTATGATGACGATAATATAAATAAAAAAAGATTGGGAAGGCAAACATATAATTTTGGTACCGGAGGAAGCAGTAGTGGGAGTGGACACGGTGGAAGTGGTGGACAAGTTGGAGATAACTACTACGGTAAACACGACGAAATCACCATCGTGATCGTTATCATATTCCTGTGCGAAACATTATTGAGATTGGGTGTATTATTTTCCAATAAAAATTACGCTTGCTCAAGGCGATTAGACGATTTCAAACTTATAATTTCAAATTATCAGTTCACATTTCCTCACGATATTTTCCTCCGCCGTATATCAGTGATGTTTATACATATTATAATTTTAGAAAGTACATCGAAAATGTCACATTGTCACACACAGGCATGGGGAGGAGGTGCCTTATCCTCTTAAACCTAGTCTTAACCACTACAGATTACATTGACTGGTTTATTTCATGAACACACCAATTTTTTCAGAGATCGCCTGTAACTTATTTTTCCATTCTTGTGTCAAACTATCATCGTCTGTTTTAAAAATTATCGATATAGTATTTAATGCCGTTTCATACTCTATCATCTCTCTCATCTTTACACGATGTTTCGATAATAATTTGTTTTATGCTAGCTTCGATACAATTAAGCAAGCAAAAGAACTCGACTTCAAGATTAGCTGAAACCTATTTATAAATATGTACTCAATTCTGAAATGTACGATAGGTACATAACTGAGGTACCAGCTTTCCGGCTTGGTCTTCTATAAATAATAATGCTTTTGTATTCGAGTTTTTCCCTTACTGATATTCTATTCTGAATAGGGTAGATGACAAATTTTTATTTTAATGTCCGTCTGGTAGATTATTTAAAAACATTATACACGTATTTTTTATTTTCTTACGGAAACGAAGAATAAGTAGTTTCGAAGATAAAGATATATTGATTTGAAATGTCGCGTGACGTCACTTCTCAGTACATTTTATACAAAGAAATGACGTTTTAGACCCCACTCCTAAACTTTGATTCGTTTTATATAAGTATTGTTTTATTATACGACAAAATAAAAAATACGTGTCTAATATTTTTTAATTACCTAACTTACGGACTAATTAATTATATTTTTAATTATCATACCCTGTCATCATCCCCATTCTTTTCTGTATTAGAATACAGATATTAATATTTATTTATTTACTTCATCTTTTGTCGTTTGTACAGGAATTAGTTTTATAAAATTATAGTTATAAGTTTATGTTATTCATTTCATTTTGACGTATTCAGGCATCAGTACGTACGATGTCCCTTGATGTATCTTTGAATGCGGCTTCAACCGCACCTACCTTACAAGTTTTTATCAAGAGCCTATTCAAATAAGGCTTTTACAGTTTCAATCAGTTGCAAACATGGCATTTACGACAACCGCGGGAAGATTAGAAGTGGTTTTAAATGTATATCGCCGTAACTGTATCGCTAGATACTATGTATAATAAATATTATTTTGTACATTTCTATTATCTTTGAAGTAAATATATATTTTTTTAATATTGTGCTATTGAAAAATAAAAAACTAATATCTGACTGGTATCATTTTCAGGAAACGCCGGAAAAACCACAAATTCAAACAACCAAAACGGTTACGGCATCTCTTTGCTAGGAGGTGTCGCTAAAGGAGTTAGTAATGATGCTTATTATTCCCAGCCGCCAGCCTATCCGTACCCTTCCCAGCCGCCAGCCTATCCGTACCCTGACTTAAATGCGTATGGTTACCTAAATCCCCTATTTCTGCAATAGTGAAAATGGTATGCTGATGTTAAATGTTATGTTATCTTCTTCGATCATCAGTTGTTATTGTTGATCGAAGGTTATCTTATACTATTGTTTTATATATATACTATTGTTAAGTGTTTATTTGTTTAATCTAAAATCTAATCTCAATAACTATAGTCAGAATTTTCATTCGATTCCAGATTTGACATTAGCTACTGTCATTTTGAGAAATAATGATACCACATGTAATAGTGTAGTGATGAACACAAAAATCGATAAACAATCGGTGTGTGTATTTTATAATAAATGTTACAGAAAGTGACAGCGATAGCGATAGCGATGACGGCGACAATTTATAAAATAAATTATTACCATAATACATCTATCTGTTTTATTTGTCATGTTCCTTCATGATTACATTTTTTTATTTATTTCACACAAAATTATTAAAGAAAAGTCTCAGATCGTTAATTAATCGTCAAAACTAAATTATCGGTCAGGAATATTTAATTTCCTGATATACTTAGCTTACGAGAGTAAAATTATAAACGAGAAGAATCGGTGCGGAAATATTCCATTTCTTGTCATAACGTTGCAACACTGAAATTGTCAAATCTGGAATCGAATTAAAATTCAGAGTATAGGTACTGGTCCGATTTGAACAATTATTTTTGTTAACTAAAACCGCGGGTTACTCACGTGAATATACTGAGAAGAGCTCTACTAGTTTCTGTGTTACTCTTGTGTCTCTCTACAAGTTACAGTGAGTTGCGTGACTCGTGAGGAAGAACTCCTTTGTGGTACGAAACTAGTAGAGCTTTTCTCAGCTCAGTATATTCACGTGAGTAACCCGCGGTTTTAGTTAATTTAGTATGTCTCACGATAGTTATTATAAAAACAATTATTTTTGTATTGGATAGTGTATTTATCGAGGAAGGCTATAAGCTATAAAATATCAAGCTACGAGTAATAAGAGCCGTGCAATAAGTAGACGACAGATAGCTACTAAAAATTAAACTGTAATAAAAATAGCATTAACTAAACTGAAATGTTTCATTAATAGTGATATACACTATACATACATGACTG